GATTATTTTCTACAATCATATACCTCCATGCACCAATATATATATATATATATATATATATATATATATATATATAGAGAGAGAGAGAGAGAGAGAGAGAGAGAGAGAGAGAGAGAGAGAGAGAGAGAGAGAGAGATGGAGAAGTAAATCATTATTGGGGTTCATTAATATGGAAAAGTCTCCGCACTAAAAAATATATTGTTTATGGTCAAGTTATACCTTGAGAAGTATAATTTGCAATTGTTAAAAATCAATTGCAATATTTTATAATCGATCACAAATGTTATGACCGATATGATTTTTTTGAGTTATAGATTAAACCCTCAAAATATTTTGTAAATTTTGGTGTCGGCTTCTATTGATATATACACTTGCCTGTAGGAGATATTGAGATTGATCATTTTTTTTGGGTTGGGCGGGGGAAGACTTTCTATCTTATTTAGTCTACCATGGGTAGTATCAAAGACAGCCTGGGTGTCTTGCCTATGTCCCCTATTTAGGGATTATTTCTGTAAATTTTGACCATGTGGACATTGGATCAATGAACTCAGTGATAACTGATCAGTGACTTCAGTTCTAATCTTGATTCTTTCATGTGAATAAACAGTAAAAATATATATGCACACACACACACGCATTTGTATGTATAATACCAGGAGAAATCGGAAAGAACTTGTATATTTTGCATGCAAGTCTTAATCGAGTCAAGTTACAATTTAAATTTGGTGAATTATATTTTTAGTCCTCAAAGTATGTGTTTAGTGTTTATTTGATCTCCAATCTTCTAATTATGTCTATTTGGTCCCTAAAAACTTAATTTGTATCTAAGTTGTCTAATCCCAAACGTCCATAAAAAAATCGTGACGGTTTTGGTCACACGTCAATTATGTGGTTCATAATTTTGTTTATATTTAGTCCCTTAAATTCTTAATTTGTATCTATTTGATCCCCAAAATTCCTAATTCGTGTCTATTTGATCCCACATAATTGACATGTAAGCAGAAACATTAACGATTTATTGACCGACGTTTGGGATTGGATCACAAAAATAAAAATTAAAAACTTTAGGAACCAAATAGACATAATTGAAAAATTGGAAACCAAATAGATACAAAATGCATACTTTAGGTACTAAATGTGCATTTTACCCTTTCAAAAGTTTTGGGGATCATAGCATAGGCTTTCCATGTTTTGCATATCGCATTATGTTTCAGTTTTCGTTTCTTTGACACTTCAAATATTACGGCATGTTAGGCTTAAAGTTGTGTGAAAAATCTTGAGATTAGCCCACGTAATTTGAACTGTCCAATATTGTTGGTAGCGTTAGGCTGAATGGAAGATCCTCTTTACGTTTCTCTCTCTCTCTCTCTCTCTCTCTCTCTCGGTCACAACGTTAGCCAAAGGGTGGTCATTGATAGATAAGTAGAACTGTGGAATGGAAAAACTCTTTTTATGTTTGCCACCTTCCCTTCCTTGTTTGTTCATTACAAACATGTACACGTGTTAGACATTATTTTATGGATTCGTATTGTAAATAATTTAAATTTAAATAAGATTTTTTTTGGGTACAAAATTAATAGAGTCATATGATCTATGCATGTCCAGACAAGGTTGTCATGTATTTTTTACTATCCCCTGCATGTCGGCAATATTTTGGGTTTTATTCAAACTTTTTTCTTCGTGGATTCCCCATTCCATGTGCAGACTTCTCTCTCTCTCTAGCAAACAGTTTAGTGTGGAATATAACATAAAAGAATTATGTTTAATCCTCAGATATTCCCAAATTAACAAACATGAGTAGATTGAGTTACAACCTTGAGTTTATTTTTTAGTAACTTTGACATGGTCGGTATTGTAATCTTACCCTCTAACTATGTAAAAAGAACCTTTTGAAAGTCTTGGTCGCCCTATGATTTTTTAAGTGCCAAAGTACTACTGTTAAAACAATATTAATGAAAGTAAAATAACTTGTAAAAAGAAGTCAACAAAAAAACAAATTGGTTTGCTTCAAAGAATCTTCTTGTACAACATGTTGGTGAAAATGTGCAGTGCTGACAATTTTGGTCTAAAAGAAGAATTGACATTTACCCACCAACCAAAAGAACGGCAAAATCCAGGCATCAATGAAGGGGACCTTTTTACTTTTCTTTATGATGGTCTCTTGAGGACGTTTGAAATAATAAAAAAATGGGATGGTTCTTTTGCCCTTAGATTTTGTAGCATTGCACTTTTATCTTTATCTAGTTGAAACTACTACCAATTATTTTATTCCGACTCTACAGTACAAATTACCAGTGGGGCTAGTGCGTTGGGTTTTTTGGGTCAAAATCTATGTTGAGGAGCATCTTTTCTTAGGGTGTTTTTGGATGTTCGTAATGGATTAGATAGGATATCAAATTTATATCAATTCCTACTCATGTCTAACCCACCACTCACTTGCATTGGTTTGGATATATGATCTATCCGATGTATGGTAAATAGTTTTTCATTTTGTGAGACTCATTGATATTAATAATATCAAAAACATTATTTAGGTTAACTTGACCATTTTACCCCTCAACATTTTTTTGGGAAAAACCACTCCAATAAGCATCAATTCACATCCACAACCATCCATGTTCCAGCCACATAAAATTCGTCAAGAACCATCCATTTTCACCTCCCCAAACCCCCTCTCTCTCTCTCTCTCTCTCTATGACAGTTGGGTATAAACTCGCACACAGAGATATATATATATATACACACACAAAAATCAACATATATATAAACTCACACACACAGATATATACATATCAACTTATATATAAACTCACACACACAAATATAAGTTGATCTGTGTTTATATATATATATATATATACATACAAATCAACTTATATATAAACTCAAACTCACACACACAGATATGTATATATATACACACACACACACAAATCAACTTATATATAAACTCAAACTCACACACACACACACAGATATATATAAACTCACACAAGCTAATTTTTTTGTAAGTCAGGCCATCCCAACCACAGTAAAAAAACCCAATTCAAAAACCCTTGATCTTTGTCGTACTAGTATACCAGTCAAGTAGAGAGAGAGAGAAAGACCAAGATGGTTTGAAGCAGCTTCTTGTTCGCCTTCATCGTCGCCTTCACAGAGTGACCAAACCTAGAAATGGATTGAAACGAGTGGAACTAGAAATGAGAGGGTAAATATGTCATTATCCATAAAAAACCTATCAGTTGGGATTTAAACTCAGTGGGGAGGTGGGTTAATTTTAACCCATGTAAGAGGGTTAATATTTACTGTAGCAGTCGGATGATGCTTAGACTCGGGATATATATCCTACCTCATTTTTGTTTTCCTAAACAAAGTATTTGTGGATCCCACTGCATTGTTAGCCTCTCCTTATTGTGTTAACCCACCTTATCCTACTATCCAAACACACCCTTAGAAGTTTGCAGGCTCTGAGAATTAATTTCACTTTGCACACTTAAAAAATACTTTAAGTCTAAATTTCCCCCATCCATATTATAAAAAAGATGAAATATAGCCCAATTTGAGCTTGAAACGGGATTACATTGCACCTGTTTTATAACATTAACGGTGAAATCTAAAAATCTAATTTTTTAAGGGTGTAAATTGAGAATTGTAGCATTTTTTAGGATTTAAAGTGAGATTAGCCCTTATTAATCGGAGAACTTCCAAAACATTGGTGTAGATGTCGATCTTCTGAAGTCTATTAGAATACCGAAAAATATATTTTTAGTATCGTAACTTATTTTTTTAATCAATAAGAACTCCCCAAGTGTGCAACTATTCTATTATATAATATTTATTACTTTATTATTATTTTTTCAAATAATGGTTTATTAAATCATTCAATTCAAAATCTCTGAGATTCATAAAAATATAATACCATAGCCTTACTCCAATCTTACATGGTCTGAAAGTGACAAAATAATCTTTCTAGATCTGCATATTTAAATTGAATTTATTTCTTAAAAAAGTGCATAAAGATTGATGCAAGTCCTCACCTTTCTCCTAGATCACTTAGTTAACAGTACCAAAATTGACAAAATAATCTTTATTTAATTGATTTTTTTTTCCCACCAAAGTGCATACAGGTTGGTGCTAGTCCCAAGTCTCCTAGATTATTCAAGTAAATAATACCTGGCACTTGGCTGGAAGATGGCTGAAGCAAGTCAACTTCAATTCTTTATTATTTTTTGTGGTTTCCTTCTATTTTTTTTTTTTTTAAAAAAAAAAGTGAGGATAAAGGAAAGAACCCAAAAACTACCATGATAAGCTTTTATTGGTGGGATCATAAAGTTCCTGTCCACGCCCGTTACTCTAGTTAAAAAATCTAATTAGACTAATGTAGCGGTCAATCACCGAATCTTAATGTGAACTCAAAGACTTAAACTTTTAACCTCATGGTGAGAAATTCAATCGGTATACCACTGGACCACCCTACTGGGTGCTATTGCTTGTCATTAATCTCGTTTTATTTTCTTTAATTGTATCTTAACTGCCATATCCTGTTTATTATAATTTTTATTCAAATTTTATTGTATCCAAAAGTTAATTGCATTTAAGATTGATAATTGATTCAAACTCGGTTCGTTTTTGATTTCTGAATTTGTCGAGCTCGTTTTCAATTTTTGAGCTTGTCGATTGTATAAATGAGCTTAAAAAATTGTTTAAACTCAACTCATTTAAAAATGGGTCGAGCTCGAACTCGAGATTAGTCCGAATAACTCGACTATTTTATATATAAACAAGCTGAATTTTACGAGCTCAAACTGAGCTCTTAGAAATGTTCAAGCTCGACTCATTTAGAATATGAACCGAGCTCAAGATAGACTAAACTCAAACCAAGTCCAAATAGCTCAGCTCAATTATTAGTTCTAACTGCATCTAATTTTGGTTGGTTTGAACTAATGAGTTTAATTATTTCTTTTCCATGTACTGGCGGGTCATAAACAAACCATCCACAGATCCAAATGGTGAGTACATTGTAATTAATATTTTTTTAACAAAATTTAAATTACTTTAAGTCATTTATTGTCTTCTAATACTTTCTCTCTCTTGTTTATTATGTAATTAGGACCAATGTATTACAATGGAGTCTACCATCTCTTCTATCAGTACAATCCCAAAGGTGCTGTTTGGGGCAACATTGTGTGGGCCCATTCGGTATCAACGGACTTGATTAACTGGAAACCATTAGAGCCCGCAATCTACCCTTCAAAAGTGTTTGATAAATACGGGTGCTGGTCCGGGTCGGCCACAATCCTCCCGGGTAACAAGCCCATCATTCTCTACACTGGAATAATAGATGCAGACAACACACAAGTCCAAAACTATGCAGTACCAGCCAACCTCTCGGATCCATACCTCCGAAAATGGGTCAAGCCCGACAACAACCCGTTGATAACTGCAGATGCGGGCGAGAATAAAACCGCGTTCCGTGACCCGACAACTGCTTGGTTGGGCCAAGATGGGCAGTGGAGAATTTTGGTTGGTGGTAAGAGAGACCGTATGGGGATTGCACATTTGTACAAGAGTAGAGATTTCATGAAATGGACAGAGGCCAAGCACCCTTTACATGCCAAGGAGAAAACGGGTATGTGGGAATGCCCGGATTTCTACCCGGTTTCGCTCCATGGTACAAATGGATTAGACACTTCAGTGATGGGACAAGGCATTAAGCATGTCCTAAAGGTTAGCCTTGACCTTACAAGATATGAATATTACACATTAGGGTCATATAACCCGAAAAAGGATAAGTATGTCCCGGATAACACATCGGTTGATGGTTGGAAAGGATTGAGATATGATTATGGGAATTTTTATGCTTCAAAGACATTTTTTGATCATGCTAAGAACAGAAGGATTTTGTGGGGTTGGGCTAATGAATCAGACACCACTAAAGATGATGTCGAAAAGGGTTGGGCTGGAATTCAGGTAAGAACAATGCACAATTAAGTTCATCAAAGTTTGAGTTTGTTTTGTTAATCTATATTTTAAATTTTTGTTTTTTTTGGGCATTTTTTCAGCTTATTCCAAGAACAATTAGGATTGATCCTAATGGAAAACAGTTGTTGCAATGGCCAATCCAAGAGTTAGAAACTCTAAGAGGACAGAAAGTCCAGCTGAGGAATCAAAAGCTCAAAAAGGGTGATCATGTTGAAGTTAAAGGGATAAAAGCTGCACAGGTTTGTTTCCCATAAAACTTCACATTCTAAAATAAGGGTAAGATTGACTTAAAAAAAAAAAAAAGGGTAAGATTACGATACCAAAAAAATTATTTTTTGAACGATACTGACAGCTACTATAATATAAAATTGAGGGTACGATTCAATTTTGAAAAACTAACAATTGAATGTGGTCATTTGGAATTGATTCTAACATTTTAAGGTCAACTCAACTCTTATAGATCGTAAGTGATTTTTTTAAATCGTAACTTGACTCTATATATGACAGGCTGATGTTGAAGTAACCTTCTCATTCCCAAGCTTGGACAAAGCAGAGCCATTTGACCCTAGCTGGAATGACATTGATGCTCAAGATGTCTGTAGCAAAAAGGGTTCAACTGTTCAAGGTGGACTTGGGCCTTTTGGGCTGTTAACACTGGCTTCAGCAAACTTACAGGAATACACTCCTGTATTCTTTAGAGTTTTTAAGGCACAGAACAAGCATAAAGTTCTCATGTGCTCTGATGCAACCAGGTTTGTTTATGGCTTAGTTTCTATGAATATCAGTGCAGTTCTTTTTGTCCAGCAACATTCTTACTTGTTTTATTTGGTTTCTTTGAGCAGCTCATCCTTGGCTAAGGGATTGTACAAACCATCATTTGCAGGCTTTGTGGATGTAGATTTAGCTGATAAGAAGCTTTCTCTCAGGAGTTTGGTAAATTCTCTCTCTCTCTCTCTGGGCCTATTTATTTATTAACTTTCATAGAGGAGGGGGCAGTGAGGTTTGAACCTGTGACCTAACAATTCAACAGCGGACTACGGTGGCCGTTAGACCAACCGCTGATCCTGTTCTAGGCCTATAATTGACCATTTTGTGCCGGGATCATATCTCTAATTTCTCCATGTATTAAAATTTGCTCAATTAATACTCCAACTCACTTGTAGTGGGCCTTGTATATGTTACCTTTGTAAATGTGATTATAAATGAGTGAGACAGGGAGAGAGAAAGAAGGGGCAGGGGCCAAGAAAGATCTAGGCAGTTGTGTGGGGTTGAAAAAAGTAATTAGGATTTATTTGATAAGAAATAAAGGGTTATATTGAAATTGCATGAGTGGATGTTTAGCCGGGTATAAGTTGTATTTAGCAGATTCATGCAGTGTTTAGACTGGTTCATGTCGATCTATGTATTTGACCGGTATAACGGGTCTATCCATCTAGACACTTGAACCCGTTGAGACTAAACTTGAACCAACTTATTATGTGTCGATTTAAAGTGAATTATTATGTATAAAATTACCAAGCCTACTCTCTATTTCTCTCTCAAGCACACATAATGATCCTGCTAAATATGAACTTTTATTTATGTATTTGACGACTTTAACGGGTCTATCCCTAACCCATTTAGCACTCAAACAATCCCGAATTCTATGTCGATTTCGTGTCGAATTTGGTGAAACATGGTTAAAACTCCCAGGTCTATTTGGTTTTAACTATGGACCCTTTTGTCTGCAGATTGATCATTCTGTAGTGGAAAGCTTTGGCGCCGGAGGAAAAACAGTGATATCATCTCGGGTTTATCCTACGCTGGCAGTGTTGGACAAGGCTCATCTGTATGTATTCAACAATGGCACTGAGACTGTCACGGTTGAAACATTGGATGCCTGGAGCATGAACAAGCCTCTTGAGATGAACTAAAGATGGAGAGAGAAACAAAGAAATCTTTAGGGTTTCTTTTATATTTGTATTTTAAAAATAATTTCTTGTACAAATTTGTGTTTATGTATCCAATGGATTCAAGATATGGAATTTAAATAATGGTATCTATGGATGATATCAGCTTTGGGTTTATCATTTTTAGCTTATATTTCGGTGGGATTGATAATGTGTCGTGTTTTTTAATCGTGTCAATACCAATTGAAAAATAACAAGATTCATTAACTAACACAAATAATATACTAGTTGGATTAGTGTCTAATGCGAATAACCAACTAGTTGGATATCTTAGTCTATTTCTATCTGAATTGGATGAAAATCGATCTGTAACCCGTTTATCTTGTTTTTCATTTTCTTTTATCATTCTTTCTCCCTTTTCATAATTTCTATTATTTGATAATCTAAAATGGTGGATAGTTAGTGCGGATAGAGATATGTGTTATAAGTGAGATATAATTGAACTAGTAATTGTCTGTGCCTTCACAAAAAATAAAATAAAAAATAAGGGCATTAAGGAATGTATCTTTTATTATACCACGATTCACTATCCAATCCCCCCCCGCCCCCCCAAAAAAAAAAACAATTACAACATTCGCAACAATCTAGCACCCAACAGATCTAATATACCATGCCACAAAATTACATACACACACCAAAAAAAACCAAACAATCAAAAAAATATTTTTACAACATATATAAAATTCGATTGCTTTAAAAATCAATCTCATTATATTAAATGATAATTTTTATGAGAATATGTTGTGATAGAAATAGATAAAAAAAAATATATGAGGATAAAAAATCAAACTGCTAGATATCTTAATATATAGATTTATTTTTGCTCCATGAGGAGGTTTTCCCCAAACCCAGTCCCCTTGAAATCAATATTTCACAACTAAGTCAGTTTTAAACTTATTTCCCAAACTCAATTTTTTTCAAAAGCATAATTTAAAATGACGCCTTCATATGTTAAAACGTCATTTAGAATGGCGATTTAAAGTCGAATTTGTTTTACTGAAAGTGTCATTCGTAATGACGTTTTTAAAGTCGTCATTTATAATGACGTTTTTTAACATGAATTTTAAACGGTAGCTAACGGGCGTTAAAAAAATAAAGGGGCAAAAAATATCATTTACAATGACGATTTGAACGTTTTATCGACTCTCTTAAAATTTCCCAAATCACAGCTAGGTTAAAAATTTTCAAACATTTCAACCACTCTCAGCTCTCCTCCTCCGCAAATGACTGTGAGCTCTCCTCCTCCACCAACCACTCTCAGCCAACCTCTTCTCATGCGAGCTCCAACCATTCAACGACTGTTATCTCCGACGGCTCCAACCATTGTTCATCCATTGAGTCAGCGACTGAGCAGTGAGCATTCTTCATTCTCCATTATAGGCTGAGCATTCTCTATTCCAGACTAAGCGAGTCAGCGACTGAGCATTCTCCATTCTAGACTAATCGATTTTGCCCCAAATCGATCCAGAACACCAACCCAGAACACCAATGATTGAACATAGCTCCACCAACGACTAAGCACAGCTCCAATCCATCGAGCTCCATCAAGTCTTCCATCCATCAGATCAGAGCTCCATAGGCATTTCCATCAAGTCCTCCACCGAGTGACCATCATTAACTTGCATCGAGCAACAGGTATGATGAGTAATCAGTCACTACTCCTCTCCTACATCTTCTGGCGTTGAGTGCATTGATCCGGATTGTACATGGGTGGAACAATTGTAAATGTCACACAAACCTTTCTTAGGATATGTATGAAACACGCCATAAAGAATTAGAGAGCTTTTGAGATCTATAAGTTTTCTATCACGATTTAAGACAAAAAAAATGAAGGACACTGACTCTATTTTTCGGAACTTAATGATCAAATGAGGGGAAACATGGAAACTGTGACTCAATATTAAGACCAATGAGATTTGGAAGTCTCTGAAGGGGTAGACTATCTTTTCAATATTAAAGGTTTTCTTCCTGTTCTTTTGGTTATTATTGTGATACATGGATTCGTTTTCACTGTTTTCCTATGTCAATTACCTAAGTGAAGAGTTATCTTAAGGTTGTATTCGCTATTATGCCTTCATTTTTTTATCTTAATCCCTCATTCATTTATTTACTATTAGGTTGTTTGCTTCCTGCTAATATTGGTAATTTTGTTAAATACATGTTGGTGTGGGATTTAAAGGTCAGGCCATGAGGGATGAGGTGCATAAGCTGATTTTTTATGGATTGCAAAGTAGATTACTGTCTATATTCCAGGACCTTCTATCCTTTAGCTATCTGAATGCATGGTAAGTTCAAGGCTATGATGCAAATGCATGGTAAGTTCAAGGCTATGAAGCACAGTTCAGTGGGATCTTGTCTGCTTCATGCTTTCACTCACAGGAGTATGCAATTTGTTACGTGGATGTGGGATGTTAAGAGTGTAATTATATTTATTTATCATTAAGGGTAGTCTAGTCTTTTTGTTATTGTAGGTTCCGTTTATATTGTCCCTTGTACTAACTTTTCATTATTACAAATATTAGAGTGCTGCATATAGTTTTTCTCTTCTTTTATCCTCTATTTGTGTGATAGAAGAAGAAAAAAATCATATGCGGCATTGCCAATGGCAATTGGCTCTGAGAGCGCAAGCATTGGGTATTTAAAAATGCAGTATTCACCTTTATATCCCAAAAGAAAAACCATCATAATCATACATGAGTCTTTGAGAGGCCAACCCACAAATTTTGCCTTGTTGCCAAGTGCAATGTGCATTGGGGTGGGGGTGGTGGGGGGGTATTACGGACCAAGGAGATGCCATAATGTTTGAATCTGAGGTAAATCTTCATGTGCAATTCAGTTATAAACTTTAATTTCTTTCCATTCCCCAATGATATTGGTTTTGTTCATTCCTAAGGTTTTTGGTTGAGATGAACACACAGGTTCAAAAGGTTTTATTTTCTTTTCTTGCAGGTGGATCGAGTTTATCTTAGTTTGCAACAGAAAAGAACATTCACACTGTGACCTTTGAATAGAATTAATGCAAATGAAGATGGTTGATCATTTGAGGTGGTTACAAGGTTGGGGAAGTTGGCAGATTTTGTACATTACAGGGTGGGGGAAGTTGGTGGATTCCCCCACAAGATATTGTACAATACTTTTTCCTTGTATTTAGCAGTTCAATATGTAAATGAATTACAACATTGCAATTGCATTTCTTTTTTGTATTATATCTAACATTTTTAAGAATCAAACTGTATGAAATGCATTTCTTGTTTGTATAGAATGAAACTTTTGGGGATTAATCAGGGTGATGGTGGAATGAATGAACTTTTGTTATTCAAATTAGGTAAGAATGGAAGCTTGATCAACAGTTGAAGGCTTCATAGTCAATGTTTTTGAGCGATCAAATTCAGATTCAGCTACTGATAGTTTCAGAAGCCTTGTCCATGACTTTTAATTTATAAGTAACACCCACATAGAATTCAATGTTCACAATGATACAACATTTTCAGAAATCACATGCTCTAGCCTGTTACTCAGTCAGAATGTTCTCCATAACTTATAATTTTCTGTAAAATCAAGACCCAAGAACACAACCAACAAATATGAAAAGCCCCTAGACCTTATCAATTAGTCCAATGTCTTCATAGACAAGAGTATATGACACGAACTAGCATAACCAGACAACTCAAAAACTATATGATTAATATTTTAGCATCCAAAAGTAATAGCAGACAAAACTGATATCCATTTGAGGTCCAAAAATTAAGCAATTCACACAAGGGAGCAGAGCATGATCTGCAGACAACCCTGTTTAAGTATCATATTCAAAGATTAGAGAATACTTGCATAATTTTAAATAAACATCCAATCATAATTTTAAATAAACACCCAATCATAAAACATACTTAAAATCCCTTGAGCTGACGAAATGGTCAGTGTGTTGATGTTAACTATCCAATGGGCTTACTAGATGCCAAGCAAAATCTCTCCTTAATTGTGGTTAGCTTGTGCTGGTGCTCCACTCCACCAAAAAAGAATGCAGCAAAGTTTTCTGTTAGTGGTGTTCAACTCAAGTTAAACTAGTCTACATCCACTGCAATATTCTCATGACCATCCCCTTGTGTCCTCTGTGTCCTGCTGCAAAAACAGATACCAAAGACAAGCTGCCCTTAAAACTATTGGCTCCATTTTAATTGCCCTAATTCAACCTAGAGCTAAGGATCATTTGACCTTGGACATGACATTATATGAGCAATAGGCATTTTCTAAAACAGCTTGACCAGTTGATTTAGGTTAAACCCTTGAAACTCTCTCTTGCCTTCGTGTGCCTAAACAACTTCAGGAACCAAGTGCTGATATTTGGTAACAAAATTCTCCGAGAAAGTCTTCTCTATCATTAAAAATACCGTCATTAAGGTGTAATTCCACTCAAACAGATCTTTGGACATCAAAAGTTGCAAGACTGAGCACCTTGGAATAATCCTCTTCTCCAAACTAAGCAGAAAAAGGTTTGGATGCCTGAAGATTGACAAAGGCTGAAAATTCAATTTTTTGCACAAAGAAACTCATAATTTTCTTAAATTTTTTGGCTGATATGAGCATACAATTAGGTTGCAATTCAAATGCTAAAAAGAAACCATCTCTAGACAAACCAAAACTGCTAAATTTTTTTATTTTCTCTTCAAATTTTGATATACTCAAGGATGACAGAGAATGCTCACTGCTCAGTTTGGAATGAAGAATGCTAACTGCTCAGTCGTTGACTCGCTGGATAAACAATGGTTGGAGCCGTCGAAGATAACAGTCGTTGAATAGTTGGAGCTCGTTGAAGAAGAGGCTGACTAAGAGTGGTTGGTGGAGGAGGAGAGCTCACAATCGTTTGTGGAGGAGGAGAGCTGAGAGTGGTTGAAATGTTTGAAAATTTTTAACCTAAGCTGTGATTTGAAAAATTTTAAGGGAGCTGATATAACTTTCAAATTATTATTTACAAAGACGTTTTCTACTTTTTTATTTTTTTCATTATAAATGACGACTTTAAAAATGTCATTACAAATGACGTTTTCAGTAAAAAAAATTCAACTTTAAATCGTTATTTCAAATGACGTTTTAACATCTGAAGGTGTCATTTTAAATGATATTTTTGAAAAAAAATTAGATTCGAGAAATAAATTTAAAATTGATTGAATCAGAAAATATTGATTTCAGGGGGTTGGATTTGGAAAAAACCTTGCTTCATGAGTAAAAGATTGCTTGAAATTAATGGAAACATTTAAAGTTATGGTGGGCCTCATTAATTATCTAGTGTACCGCCACACAATGATTACCGTCCTTCACAAAAATATCTTGACAATCTAATCGACCACGTCATACGTTATTTGAATGGTTCCACAACATGTCTCTTTTTTAAACTCAAACATTGTAAGAGAGCACAGTTATTAGAATCGGATCGAAAATTAAACTGATAAAAGAATCAGGTCAATAATTCACAGGTTCAACCGTTGCATTAATTGATTAAATCGATTGTAAAAGAAAAAAATAAAAAAATAAAAAAATATAATAGTTTAAATTTAAAAAAAAATATGTTCACAATATACATAGAATTTACAATAAAATAAACATTGTAATTTACGTTTATTTCAATTTTCAAATTTTACTTTTAGTCTTGGAATTTTAGTCATCCATTCATTTCCCACCCTACGAAATTGGACAGTTAAGATTATTTTCAACTTTACCTATGCAATCCAAATTCCAAAGATCTCTACTTTTCTATTGAACTCTCCACTCCACCGCCACTCTGTTCTCACTCTTTTTAAAATTTTTCTCTATCTCCCTCTCCTTTTGAAACTCTACCTCACTCCCTTATTTCCCTCCCTCTATCTTTCTCTCCTTCTAAAACTATGCCTTTAAGGCTGTTCGACGCCGAAGTGTGAGAGATCAAGTGGAGAAGGTTGCTGAGTGGAGAAGGTCACCTGAGCTTCGAGTAGAGAGGTCGCCTGAGTTGCTGTTCATCGCCTGAGTGGAGAAGGGTCGCCTGAGTTGTTGTTCATCGCGTGATTTGGTCGCCTGAGTGGTCGCTAAACAACATGATTGCCTAAACTGCAGATTGATTTACAGATTTAGCTATATTCGATTTAGGGCAAATGCCCCAATTTTTTTTTATATGGAGTCCCTGAAATTCAAACCGTCTGGTTTGACCAAAATGGCCCAGTTCACTGATTTGGTCCAAAATCAGCCGGTTTAGCGATTTTCTGACGGTTTACTTTCTTACGCGGTCTAACTGTAGAACCGGCCCGTTTTAAGTCCCAGTTCACGGTTTAAATGTGTGAATCGGCCGGTCCAGTTCAATTTTAATAACATTAGAAGGGGTACTAAAAAAGAGGAATGAGAGTCATGAGAGTACACCATAAGCTTGTAAATATCTTTTAGGATGTATTTGGATTATGTAGTTATTTTTTAATTTATTTTAAATGGCGTGCTTGAAAATGATATATTTCTCCATTCTCGGGATTAGTTCTGGAAGCCAATTTTTTGGGTGGGAATTCAGATTTCGGGAGTAATTTTTAATCGTAAGATTATTTTTTATTGTCTCAGAATTAATCTGAACAGCAAAAAAATGAAAGATATTTTTTTTATACCTTTTGAGATTTAAAATGCCTTGTATATTATTATATAAATATGAGTAAAGGAATTTTTGTTTTTTATATTTTTACCCTAATTCAAAATTCAAGAAAATTAGAAAGTGTGGAGGAAAGAATTTCCAGGACCTCCCTCACCTAATTTGTTTGTAATAATAATATAGATAGATATTTCATTTTAGTTGTAATTTAATAGATTACCTCCTCTCATGATTTATCAAACGTTTGAAAAAGATTGGGTTGAGACATTTCTCGATACATATTTATGTACATATACCAAAATATACACACTAAAAATACAGACGATAGATATACACCAATTGACCAATTTTAACTTTGTACTTAGATGTTGTATTTGCAAATGTAATATATGTTTACACACACTAATATATACTCATAAAAATGTTTGTTTATAATTTGAACACCTTATAAGGTTAGTGCAGGAAGTATCTATATATTGGTTTTCTAAATCATTAGTGGGAGAATATTAGAATGGCTGAAGCCACGACATGCATGTGTTGGTTATTTGCTTCTTCATTTGCATGCAAAAACAGATATATTAATGAGATATATACTGCCACAAAGGGCCTCATGTATCGTCAAAATCATTTAATGTAAAAATTGATGATGATGGGACATGATATATCAGACTAATCAAATGGGAACACGTGGTCTTCCACCCCTACCTACAAATGATGTCATTCGAAAGAAGAGTGACGATGACGAAAAGACAACATGATCCCCTCGAAACCACGATGGCACTCGGGATTATGTGACGTCACTCGGAGAGGAGTTATAATAATTGAGTATTCCTTTGAGGTGATGTCACTCAAGAAAGAGCCACTTGGAGATGATGTCATTCAGACGGAAATGATGTCATTTAGACAAATATGATGTCACTCTACAGAGAGCCACCCGATAATGAACGGGAAACACGATTTACAAAGATCCATACTCAAACTCTCAGCAAAGTGTGGGTCCATTATCCCATGTTGTTAGAACAAGCATGATGACATACTGCAGACAATCATGGAGAAGTCTTTAAGATAAGTACAACTAATAATAAATGCTTTTTATGAGCATACGACAAATAGTTAATGCACGGAGGAGGATAAACACGAAGTACTTACTCTTCGACGCGCCAGATGGTGCCGAACATTTATTACCACAAGATAGGGCCTCTTATGCCCTAGTTTGCAATAAATGGTTGGCAAGATCCTTGACATTGAAGGATTAATATCATCAATGTGCATCTTGTAAAGCATGCGTAGAAGGATCAGAAATTGAGGTAAAAGAAAGAATTCGTCTTGATACCTTGTCGTCTGACAAGGTTAGCGAAACTTCCTAGTTATCGCAGAGAATAGCCAATCAGGAAGCCTCCCACCAAAAAGGGTGGGATGAGTTTTACTTGATAGAGACACCCATTTACCGAGAAGGTATAAATAACCCTTTTAGTCGAATGAGAAAGGTAAGCATAACATTCCAACCCTAGCACTGAATTTTGTCTCATTCCCTCCTTAGAAAACTAACTTAAGCATCAGAGGAGAATCACTGGAGACATCTCTGACCTACCTTCTAACTCTTTTTTTATGAGCTTGAGGTTTCTCATCGCCCTCACGCTGCAAGATCATCCTCGAGTGTCGATCAAAGTGATGCTATCTCATCATTTTGCGAGAAATCACCCGCACAATTTGACACCGTCTGTGGGAAATATCAAAACTTCCTTGCAGCTAGCATGATGGTTAACACTCAATTGAGAAACTATGTGGACGAAAACCCACGACACCAGAAGATGACTAATCTTCTCCAAGACATATCTACATTCAAGTCGGTGCACCATACTAACAACGTAGTCCAAGACCAAGTCACCAATCAGGAGTGTGCCCTTCCGTCTGGGCAGTAGTCCCAACACACCGTCCCTAGCCTAGTGGGGGGGGGGGGAAGAGGTGGACCCCTCACCTGTGTGCTGGTGGATCTCATAGAAGAGCAACTAGAGAGTCATTTTAAGTAGATCGAGGAGGATAACGTCAATGTGTTCAACATGCTGGATGAGTTTGGACATTCTAGAGGATGCAGGAGTCTCAGTTGTTTCTCCAAGAACAAATCCCGCCGAGAAAAATTGAGACAAGATGACCTCTATCATCACTTTTCTAAAAAGGTGGTAAACTCCAAGGAGCCGAAGCCTGCTCATCACAGGACGGGGGAGGCCGTGATCCCAAAGAAGAGGGACAAACATGTGGCAGATGATGACCTCTATCGGCGTCTCTTGCGACAAGAAGTGAGAGACAAATTTGAGGGTTCCACTTTCTCAGTGAAGGACGCGGGGATAAGGTGCCACGAGACGTCCCCTAAGCGCCAGAAGGAGGACGATGATCTGAGGTCCCATCTAAATTCAAAGAGACTCAAGAAAGCCACCTAGCAATGGGGGGACCATACCAATGACGAGCCTATCCACTTTCCCTTTGTCCGCAACATAAAGGAAGTGGAGATACCTCAAAATTTCATGGTGCCTTGTTTTAATGTGTACGACGGTCGATTCGACCCAGAGGCCCACCTTCGACAGTATAAACAACACATGTTGTTCTATGACACGAACCCGAAGTTTTTGTGTTGGGTGTTCTCGATGAGCCTCAGGGATACTGTTATAAAATGGTACAAGAGTTTGCCCTCGAAGAGCATAGGGTCTTAGAAACAGTTGACTGCCTAATTTGCTACACAGTTCATCACAAGTAGCAAGCACTTGAAGGAAGTCGGGTCGTTACTTATCCTCCGATGGAGGGACAATTAGAATCTTAAACAGTACGTTGCCCGTTAGTAGGAGGAGGTCAATGAAGTGGAAGGATGTTCCGAAGTGACGACTGCGGCCTTTCTTAGACTCGACTTGTCTCAAGATACTGACTTATATCGATCCCTGAAAAAGAGGACCCCATCCACTATGAGTGACCTAATGGCTCATATTGATAAGTATGCCAAGGTGGGGATGACCTGGGGTTGAACAGGAGTAAGGCCTTAGCCCCGAAGAATAAAAAAAGAGCCCTGACAAAGAAAAAGAACAGGGCAAGAAAGTCAAACCTGCGTCTTTGCAAACTCCAAGCTCATTTAAGGGGGTCCATATGATTTTCAAGGAGCCAAATTTCCAAGATGCTACACAACATTAAGAAGGAACCATTATTTATATGGCCTACCAAAATGTAAGGGGACCCCTCAACAGGGAATCAGAATGCCCAGTGTTTTTACCATTTTGATACTGGACATTTTATAGGGGATTGTTGGGTGTATAAATTCTTTTTAGAGAAGCTGGTGAATGAGGGACACCTCAGCGAGTTTATAGATCGGGGGGCATCGATTGAAGGAGTCTTGGAGGCCATGACAGAGGAAAACCCCACAACAGTCATTATGTAACTCGTGCTTGTCCCTTGGAACGCCCAACCACTAATACGCTTAGAGTGGATTTAAAGAGGGTGGCGATGGCGCATAAATTGGAGGAGGGTAAGGCAGAAACGCAGTTAGTGAAAAGGGCTCGGAGTGAAAGGGTGGATATCACCTTTTCAGATGTCGACCTAGCCGGGGTGGTATTTCCACACGATGATGCATTGATCATTACTCTACGAATATCAAACTTTGACGTAAGGCACATTTTGATCGACTCTGGGAGTTCCTTCAAGGTCATGTATAAAAAATATATGCTGTAGAAGATGTGCCTCGGTCCTAAAGATCTCACCCTGATGGAAACTCCTCTCGTCGGCTTCAATGGGTCGTACGTCCTTCCTCTTGGGAAAATTACCCTGGCCGTTAAGACAAGCCCCATCGTCCTGGTGACGAAATTTGTGGTTATCGATTTGGATTCGCCATACAATGTGATTATGGAAAAAAACATGGTTGCATGCTCTCAAGGCCATCCACTCCTCCTATCATCAGAAGCTGAAATTCCCCACTCTAGAGGGCATTATGGAGATTTGCAAGGATCAAGCCTTGGCCAAGAGCTACTTCTATGCAGTCGTAAAGGCAGGGGTCAGATCCAAGAGTAAGGAACCTGATTTCGAGGCCCTCCTAGATAAATAAAAATTAAAGTTTGGGCAACGAGGGGTTGACAAGCCAAGGGTAGACCTTGTTGATCGCTCCAGAGAGGAGTTGAGGACCATGTACTTGGACCCATAAGACCAGGAAAGATTCTCCCTAAAGAAGCAAGAGGAAATGATAACTTTTATGTGACAAAACATAGACATATTCGCATAGCATCCATTAGAGATGGGTCAGTACTAAGGTCATAAGTCATCTGTTGCACATGGACCTGAGCTTCAAGCCAATGAAATAGAAACCACGCCGGTCAACTCCACATCATGTCAGAGCTGTGAACAAAGATGTCGAGTGGTTGTTAGAAGCTGATGTGATCAGAGGGGTGCAGTTCTTGGAGTGGTTGTCTAACACAGTATGCACGAAGAAAAAGAGTGGGAAGTAGCGCATCTGTGTTGATTACACAGACCTGAATAAAACATGTCTCAAAGATGACTATCCATTTCCCAAAGTGGACTAGTTGGTGGACGCCATTATAGGATATAAGCACATAACATTTATAGATGGGCGATCGGGTTACCATTAGATTCCCATCCATCCGTCGAATCAGGAAAAAATGGCTTTCATTACCACAAGGAGTGTACTGGTACAAAGTTATGTTGTTTGGCATCAAGAATGTGGGGGCTATTTATCAGCACCTAATGAACAATATGTTTAAGTGATAGATAGGGGCGAACATGGAGGTATACATCGATGACATAGTTGTAAAGAAGAGCAAACGCCGAGATTACTATCTGGAAGATTTGGAGATGACCTTCCAAACACTTCAAGAGTATGGGTTGAAGCTGAATGCAGTAAAGTGCTCATTTGGGATTAGCTCGGGTAAATTCCTCTAGTTCTTGGTTATCTGACGCGATATAGAGGTGAGCCCTAAGTTGATACAAGCCATTGCTAACATCCAAGAGCTGAAGACCATTAGGGACATACAAAGTTATTGGGATGCTAGCCGCCTTGAGTCATTTCAAAACTAGATCTTCGAACAAGTGCAGGCCCTTCTTCGATGCTCTCAAGAAGGCTTGAAAGGACAAGTGGGATGATGAATGTAGTAAGGCCCTGCGGGAGGTAAAATATTACCTCAGAGTTTGCCGACCCTCTCAGTTCCAGGAAATGGGGAAATGTTATACATTTATCTTTCGGTCTTCGATTTCTTCGTGAATGGGCCTTTGGTTCAAGAGGTGGAATGCGATAAAAGGCTAGTGTATTATGTAAGCAAAGCTCTATTTTACCTCGAGACAAGATATCTCCTGTTGGAAAAGATGGCATTGGCTCTAGTCACGACAACAAGAAAGCTCAGACATTACTTCTAAGCCCACGCGATAGTGGTGCTGATCGATCAACCACTAAAGTCTGTCCTAAAAAAATTTGACTTGTCCAAGAGGATAGCTAAATGGGACATCGAAATGAGGGAATATGAGATACAATACAAGTCCTGATACGACGATCAAGGGTCAGGACCTAGTAGACTTTATCACAGAATTCACCCCTAGCATGACTTTTCCCGAAGAAAAGATAGTCACCCCTCGATACGTATCTAAAGATCCTTGGAAGTTATATGTGGACGGATCCTCCAACGAGAGGGGCTCGGGAATGGGTGTGGTCTTAATTTCCTCGGACGGTGATGTCACGGAACAAGTGGTACAACTCGGCTTCAGCGCCTCAAACAATGGGCTAAATACGAGGCGTTCATCTCAGGGCTCAAATTGGCCCACGCAGCTAGAGCAGACCATCTCTTGATATTTTGCGATTCTCAACTTGTGAGAAACCAAATGAACGACATATTCGAGACAAGGGATCCAAGGATAAAGGCATACCACGAGAAAGCCATCTCCGCTATGCAGGACTTTCAAAAGGTGGAAGTCACGCAAATCCCTTAGGAGAAAAACTCCCATGCTGATGCCCTGGCATGTCTTGCCTTGGTCCTCAGAATAGAGGTCACAAGGAGGGTAACAATGGACTGCATGCCGACCCCCGAGCATATTGGAAGGGGTATATAGCTTTCTAATAAAAACAAATGAAAGTTCCGTCAGTTAGATGGACCCAATCCTACGGTACCTTGTGACCGGGGAGCTTCCGGCTTGTAAGAAGAAAGCCTACAAAATCAGGCTCAAGGCCTTGAGGTTTTGGGTGTCGCCTGATCAAAAGCTATATCGTAAATTATTCTCGGGTCCCTATTTTCTTTGCGCTCCCGAAGACAAGGTCCAACCGCTGTTATACGAGATCCATGAAGGCATGTGTAGGGGCCACATGTGGGGCAGATCGATGACCCATTGAAAGATATCGTAAGGATATTAGTGGTCGCACATGAAAATGGATGCAAGAGAGTATGTGCAAAAATATGAAAAGTGTCATAGACATGTGCCCATCTTTAGACAGCCTGTGAATGATTTGAATCTGCTGACAAGCCCCTGGCCTTTTGCTTAGTGGGGGCTCGACATCGTTAGTCCATTGCCCAAGGCTCCGACCAACAAGAGGTTCCTCCTCATAGGAACATATTACTTCACAAAATGGGTGGAAGTTGAACCCCTAACTCACATCTAGATGTCGATACCAAAAAGTTTGTATAAAGGAATATAGTGACGCGATTTGGCATACCATGAGCTATAATTTTTTACAATAGAACCTAGTTCAATAACAAGCCCTTTCGGTTATTTTGTGAAAACTTAGGTATCATGAACTATTACCCTACGCCTACCTATCCATAGTGCAATGGGTAGGCCAAGGCTTCTAATAAGATGATATTGGTCGGGATCAAGAAGAGATGAGAAAAGGTAAAAGGGACCGAGAAATTACTCAACGTTCTATAGGCATTACTGAATTACCCATTGGTCCTCCATAGGGGAAATCCCATTTGCCCTAGAAAATGAGATGAACGTTGTCATACCACTTGAGGTCAGCCTTCCGACCTTAAGGACACAGGCCTTTGACATACGAATGAACAACCAATAGATAAATAGAGATCTTGACTTAACTGAAGAAAGAAGATAATTGACAACCGTTCGGCTGACAAGGTAACAAGGGGAGGTCGCCAGCTGCCACAATAAGAAAGTTCGCCCCCGAAGTTTCCAGGTAGGTGGCCTAGTACTACAAAAAGTTGTCGGGAACACTCGAGAGGCCTCCAACGGAAAGCTCGGGCCAAACTGGGAGGGTCCATACAAAGTTATAACAATCAACAGTTTCGATTCTTATAAAAGTTAGAAGATTTAGATGACACTGTTCTGCCTAGATAGTGGAATGTAACAAATCTCAAAAAGTATTATTTTTGAAATACAAGTCTGCTTTTAGAGTCTTCTCTCTGCAATAAATATGAAGGCATGCATAAAAAAGACAAGGATAAAGTACAAAGAGAAGACACTTCCATTGCAAGTAGGGGTTTTTCATCCCGCCAGCAAAACAAGGAATGGACAAAAGTCCTAGAACAAAAGAAAAGAAAAAACAAACTTCGTGTCACCCCGAGGAGAATGCCTATATCAACTGAAAGATTGTCCTTGGGAACAACAAGAGATATGGGTGTTGAGGAGGCATGGAGATAGTAGGAACCTTGGAGGCAGCAGGGTCAACTTGAGGCGAAGTAGGACGAGCTCTGGAAGATTCCTCGGCTGCATTCACTTTAGGGGAATGAGTGTAGATGTGTTGCTAATATAGAAGGGAGTCTGATGCAACCCTCCATGGCAACAAGGGCGACATCCCATCCTTGCTTGATGTCCTCAAAGACAATTATTACGTTGTCCTCACATTCCTGGATGAGTTCCTTCTCTCTCTTCGGCTATCCTTCAACCTAGGCCCTCAGCTTCTTTACCTATTTGGTCAGAGTGGCACAGTTGGCCTTTGACTAAACAAGTTTGCCTTTACATTGGAAACTTTGAGCTTGGCCTCTAAAATCCTCTTCTTCGTGTCATTAGCCAACGACTTGAGTTTTGCCACTTAACCATTCAACTCACCACTATCCTTAAGTAGTTGAGTGATTTGTTGGGACTAGGCGGCCAGGGTAGTATCCCGAGAGCTGATCTCCTCTTTTAGTTGATTGTTCTTTTTATCGGCCTTGTCGCTTGGCAAAAAGTACGCCCACAGCCGATCGGTGATGACCGACACTTGTTACACCACATGGAAACAAACAAGAGGTCAAGAAACACGAGGGGAGATAAAAAAAAAAAGAAAGCAATAAGAAAGATTAATAACAGTAATGCCCTTATCGTTAAGGAATTTTGGATTATGCTCATCATTAACCCATTGTTGGAATAATCTCGATGTCGTTCCATGTTGGCATCAAAGATAAGGGCGCCACTGATGACAAAGGAGGTGTCCAAAGAGTCAATGATGGAATCAGAAGTCATCACTGCTTGCCCTTTCTCATGGTAACCTGAGGACTCTATTCCTGGCCCGTCAGTTGAATTGTGGAGACATCTAGGAGTTGGCTCGGGGGTTAAATAGGAGTGCCCTGAGGGGGGGATGGCTCCTGGAGGGGTAACCCTAGGAACGGTCCCGATCGAGGGATTTTGACGACCTTTCACCCTCCTCACCAGTTCTATGTCCTCCCTAGGATGGATGACCCTTTGACTTTGGGGACTTGACGTCAGCACGGAAGGGTTTGTCAAGGGAGTACCCATAGTAGAAGACACCAATAGTATGGTAGGAAGAGGCCGAATAGATGGACTACCGGGAGCCTGGTGACCCGCTGCAGAACTTGCTTCGAGACCACCTAATATAATGCGTTGTTGATGACTCATGGCTACTTCAAGGGTGTCTGGTTCGTCAAGTGTTTGAAAGATGTGAAAGTGGACCACGTGTCCTGACCGAAAGTACTTGGCTCGGGATTGAGTTCAATGATGCCTTTCTACTTCCTTTTCGATGGCTTGGTCAGGGTCATGCTCTAGGTTTTCCTCTATGTCTACGTTTCAAGCTGAAGGATCAAAGTTCATAGGGATTTGGGAGTATTTCTTGTAGCCTAGAATGTACCTTAACAACACATGCCCTGCTCGACCAAGGTCGTTGGAGCCAAGAAAACTCCAAGTTCTGGTAATGGCGTCGAAGTTGATATCCCAAGGGACTGTGCGACCTTACTATCACCAATTTTTGCATAAAAAAAAGAGAAAGACGAGTAATGAAAACGACAAAAAGTGGAAGGGAAGAACAAGGACAATGCACAAAATTTTACATGTGGCTCTCCATTGTTTTGGACACCACAGGTCATCGTACTCGGGTCTGTTTCCTCGTTCCCATTGACCCCTAACCATCATTAGGTCATCCAGATAACCTTTGTCGAATCGGGCAGATGTGTCACAAGGTATATGGAAGGGTCACAAGCCTTGAGGTAGTACTTTTTGGAAAGGGCTTTGACGAGGGGGTAATAGACAAGGACTTTTTTCAGACTGAAATTAATCTGGAATCGAGCATTTAACGCCATGACCCCCATAATGATCCTAAAGGTGTTAAGGCAACACAGATTGGAGAAGAGACGAAAGCGCATCAGAAAGCAGAGGAGAAGGGGGTGAGGAGGGGGGTTGAACTCGACTACCGTGACGATGAAGGGAATCAAGTAACAAACCCTAAAGTTGACTATTTGTTGTGCCCCCTTCACCTAGAATTTCCTTGGCCTGGATTCCCAATGTCTATCGACACCGGGAGGAACGGCTCTACGAGATCTAACCATGAGGGACTAAAAATAGAAAAAGAAGAAAAAGAAGAAGAAGAAGGAAGGAAGGAAGGAACCGAAATACGAATGGAAAAACTAAAAATTGAAAAGGCAAGAAAGGAAGATTTACAAGTTGTTTGCTGGCTCAGAGCCTACGCGAAGATCTTGGGACACAAGGGATTCGAACAGTATGAATGCTTGCAAAGAACATGAAAGGAATGGTAATGGAAGCCGAAAAGAGGATTCCTTATATAAGAAAGAAAAGGGAAATGATTGTGAACAGAATGCGAAAGGGGTGGCATTAAATGACGATTCGAAATCAAAGGCGGGAATACAGTGTAATAGTTCATGAAGAGTCATCATGGAGAAGTCTTTTGCATTCACATGACATGTGTCTTACTGTACGAAAACCAAAGGCTAGGGGGCAGTTGATGGGACATGACATGTCAAACTAATCAAATGTGAACACATGGCCTTCTACTCAAGCATACGCGCCAGACATTTATTACCACATGATAGGGCCTCTTGCGCCCTAATTTGCAATTAATGGTCAACAAGATCCATGACACTAAAGGATTAATGCCATCAATGTGCGTCTTATAAAGTTCACGTAGGAGGATCAAGAATTGAGGTCAAAGGAAGAATTCGACTCAATACCCTGTCGTTTGACAAGATTTGCAAAAATTCCTAGTTGCTGCAGAGAATAGCCAATCAGGAAGCCTCCTATCAAAAAAGGTCGTACGAGGTTTCCTTGATAGAGATGCCCATCTACCATGAAGGTATATATAACCTTTTTAGTCGAAGGAGAAAGGTATGCACAACATTCCAACCCTAACACTAAATATTGTCTCATTCTCTCCCTAGAAAACTGACTTAAGCATTAGAGGAAAATCGCCGGAGACATCTCTGACCTCCCTTCTAATTCTTTTTCTGTGAGCCTCAAGTGTCTCATCACCCTCACGCTGCAAGATCATCCTTGAGTGTCGACCCGCATAGTTGAGATTTTGGTCTATGGATTCATTATGGTACCAAAAAACACTTTTTCAATACCATATTTCTACTTTTTTTAACAATACAACTATGACACGTATACAATAGGAACACGGTACATACCGACTTGGTTACCATAGCTTAACCCTTGGTTTAGAGGGCAAATTACGTGATCATCAAAATCATTTAATTTAATCATTGGTTGGATTTTAGTTATCATTTGTGAGCTAGTAGTGTCTACAACAAGCTACATGTCATGAGGAAAAAAACAAACTAAATGTTGGAAAGTACCAAACGTCTTTGTTCATGGAAACCTATGAAGCACGGATATTTTATTGAGGTAGGCGTACCCGTATCGAATACCGTATTGAATACGATACTCGTCGGATATTCGAGAATACATATCGGATACACCTTCTACGTATCCGATAATAATTAAATATTAGGATACTTGATGAATACTTTTGTAGTAGAGCAACATATATAATTTTTTAGTTGAACTTTTAACATCTCTTTTCGAATTTACATACCATACAATACATTAATAAAAATTATATATTACTTCAAAGACACATGAGTGTTTTTTAAGTATTATTTACAATTACATGTTAAAAGATTATATAGTAAAGATATTACATTATAATTTTAACAAAAGTTACTTCTAAATACTAGGTAAATATTAGCTTTGATTCCTTTAATTAGTCACTTTACTTTGTAAATATACCACAGCGACATGATATGTGTTTTCTTGAAACTAAAAAGAATTATTAATTTTTCTTATTATATGTTAAATAACTACAAAAACATATAAGTGTTAAGTTGGTTGAAAATAATAAAAATATTTTATTATAGTCGTATCCTGTCCGTTCCCGTATTATATTTTTTTAGATTTTATCGTATCATCGTATCTGTATCGTATCGTACCATATCCTGTATCTGTATTCGTGCTTCATAGATGGAAACCAACTTTTCTAAGTTTCGTTGCTAATTTCCCTCCTGTGCCTTTCAGTAGGGGTGTCAATTGTATCGTGTCATATCAGTTTTGTGTCATGTCACTTTCGGTCATATTATTTTCGTCTCGTGTTGTATCAGTTGTGTGTCGTGTTACTTTCGGTCGTATTATTTTCGTGTCGTGTCACTTTTGATCGTCTTATTTCCGTATCGTATCATTTTCGATACGTGTCGAGTTCGTATCAATATTCGTGTTAATAAAAAATTATTTAATTTGACAACAACTAATATAATCTTATTTAAAAATTTAAAAATTCTTATTTTCTATTTACAATACTCGTTAAATAATTATTTTTTATCTATAGTATTCATTAATCGTGTATTCGTGTCGAACTTTAATTTAACTCATTTATTATTCATGTCAACTAATCGTGTTATTTTCAAGTTCGTGTGAGGTTCGATTCAAATCAAGTTCATGGTAACGAAAAAAATTGGCACACCTATCGGCTATGGAAATTCCTACAAACCCCTACCCCACTATAGGAGGTGTAATGTCACACCGGCCAATACAAAGGAACAAATCACAAAACTAGTCTAACCAGACGCAACCCCCGAAAGTTGAACAGAAAAAATGACAGTATCAGTTATCTATCGTGTCACTTTCGGTGCGTTATTTTCATATCGTGTCGTATTAGTTTTGTATCAGTGTCACTTTTGATCGTGTTATTTTTGTGTCGTATCATTTTCGATACGTGTTGGGTTCGTGTCAATATTCGTGTTAATAAAAAAATATTTAATTTGACAACAACTAATATAATCCTATTTAAAAAATTATAAAATTTTTATTTTCTATTTACAATACTCGTTAAATAATTATTTTATATCTAGAGTATTCATTAATCGTGTTATTCTTGTTGAACGTTAATTTGACTTATTTATTATTCGCGTTAATTAATCGTGGTTTTTTTCAGATTTGTGTCTGATTCGATTCAAATCAGCTTCATGTTAATGAAAAAGTTTAACACCCCTAACTTTCGGCTATGGAAACTCCTACCAACCCCTACCCCATCGTAGGATGAGTAATGTCACACTGGCCAATACGAAGGAACAAATCACAAACTAGTCCATTTATATAACCAGACGCAACCCCCGAAAGCTGGAAAAAAAAATGACAGTTGCTGTTTTATGTCGTGTCATTTTCGGTCGTATTATTTTTGTATCGTATCGTATCAGTTTTGTGTCGTGTCACTTTCGATTGTGTTATTTTCGTGTCATATCACTTTCGATACGTGTTGGGTTCGTGTCAATATTCGCATTAATAAAAAATTATTTAATTTGACAATAACTAATATAATCCTATGTAAAAAATTATAAAATTCTTATTTTTTATTTATAATACTCGTTAAATAATTATTTTCTATTTACGGTATTTATTAATCATGTTATTCGTGTCAAATTTTAATTTGATCTATTTATTATTCGTATTAATTAATCGTATTATTTTTAAATTTATATTTGATTTGATTTGAATCAAGTTCGTGTTGACTACAAAAATTAACACACCTAGCTTTGGGCTATGGAAACTCCTACCAACCCCTACCCCACCATAGGATGAGTAATGTCACACTGGCCAATACGAAGGAACAAGTCACAAAAACTAGTCCATTTGTGTAACCAGACGCAACCGCCGAAAACTGAAAAAAAAATTGACAGTATCACTTATGCCTCTTCGCTCACTCAACATCGTGATAAATCAATTTGATTTCAATTCCAAAAAAATAAATTTTGGTATTATATTTTTATTTATTATATTTTAGAATATTTTTATCATTATTGTGGGTATTTTTATAAATGTGTGTGGTACCAAAAAAATAATAAAAATAATTATTTCAACAGTGATAAAAACATCCACAAATATAATAAACCATCCATAAAAGTGATAATTTTTTTTATACTAAAAAAAAGTGGTAAAATTAATTACCACAACAGTAATAAATCATCAACAAAAATAATAAATTTTTTGGTTGTAAAATGATCTACTAAAATTGTAAAAACATCCATTAAAATAATAAATTTTAGAGATAGGGTATAAATTTTTTTTGTCCATACCGTAGTCAAGCCCTAATTCTTTTCTCAACAATTACGAGAAACACT